GACCGTGTCCTCTATGTCATGTGGAGCTGATCTTGCAGGTTTCCAAAGATGGAATATTGGGTTCTCTATACTGCCTGGAACATACAAAATTTTTGAATTGCCAGGCTTCTGATGGCAGGGCTGATGACATCTGCCATGTTCTCAAGGGCTGGAAGAGAGACGAACAGAGCCACAGTCAGATCCCAGACCTGCGGGGGCCCACTGAGAGCTCCCTGCCAGAGCCATCCCAGTGGGCTCTTGCCATGGCCAGCAGGGAGCAGGGACCAAGAGGATCAACCCAAAGCTGCTGGCCACGAATGCCCCATGTGCCCCTAAAATGTCTATGTGCTCTGCCCACGCTGCCCCCCCGCATCCGCAGAGGGAGCAGAGCCCCCTGCAGCCAGGCCAGGGCTTGCAGTTCCCCCCGCCAGCACTACAGACAGCCTGCTGCCCTCGCTGACCTTTGTAGATCTGCAGGAGTTCTCCCTGATGCCACTTCAGGTGCTCTCCAGCCATCCCAGGCAACACAGATCCTGTCAGGGCTTGGGACACAGGAGCCTGTGAAGCCCAGGGAAGGGAGTGGCATGTGGGGAGCAGGCTGGTGCCCCTGGGTGCAGCATCGGTGTTGTGGTTTTAAAGCAGCAACTAAAAAATCACTAGAAAACTTACTTATTTCTTGCTGTGAGATATGGATTAGAACAAGAGCAAAACAGGCTTAAAACTTAAAAGGAATAAAGAAAGTTTTTTAACAAAACTACAAGAATAAGAAAACTAGAATAAAACTTCCAGAAAACTCCTTTTTTCCCCCATTACTCAACTATTTCATTGTTTACATGACAATATAAAGACAAAAAAACCCTGGTGTTTAAAGCAGTCCTAATTCTTGCTAGAGTCTTCTCATCAGTCTTTGTAGAGAAACAGAAGTCTTTTACTGCTAATCTATGGAGATTTTCACAATAAAACTAATTTTCTTCAAAGCTTCTTACTTTTCTGATGCCAGCTGCCTGAAAATCTGTCATCAGTTTACTCCTCCCATTTCACATCACTCTGAGGTGTGTTATGGGTCGTGAGTCTAGGGATGTCATTTTAAGGATAAGTTATTCAAAGGTAAAAGTTCTCTTCATTTGTCTCTGTGAACTTTTCTGGAAACAGAAGTTTTCTTTTTGCCTCTACAAAGCTACAAGTCTTCAACTATTACTTCGCCTCACTCTGTTCCAGCACCTCACTGTATCACAACTACTTCACTTTTTGCTCAAAATCCACACTTTGAACTACTCCATTCCTCCCAATATACTCTGTCATGAATTAAAGGAGTTTTTTTCAAACACTATTGTCCACCTCTATAGCTTTAACAGAAAAATATTTTCAGTGTATTAAAGCATCTCCTTATTCTCTACCTTTTCTGAAGCTTAATTCCTTTCTTCACTGTCTCTGATAGTTTATAAAATCTCTTTACATGTTGATTATTCTCTCTTTCTCTCTCTGGAAAAAAAAAAAAAAAAGGATTAATCTGCAAGTCTCATCTAGGTAATGAAAGGGTTAGAATATTGCCCAGGCTTTGTAGATGGTTCTGTGACCTCTGCCGGAGCAGTGGCTGGAGTTGTCTGTGATGGAAGATTCTTCATGGCTGCTCTGGAGAGTGTGGTCACTGTCTCAGCCCTCCGCAAGTCAAGAGCTTTTTTTCTTTCCTTACTTGGCAGTCTCTGGTGAATTCACCCATGGCAAAAACTGCTGCCTTGCCAGGGACCGGCCTGGCCCGGCCAGAGCCCAAAGGAAGCCCCACAGGCCCCTTCTCCCGTCTGGGAGCCATGGCAGGCCCAGCCCAGCCCCTGCCCGGGCCACATGGCCTGGGCAGGGGAACGGGAGGCCAGCTGGAGCTCAGTAACCTTTCACAGCCAGGAAACAAAAAGACAAAGAAATTCCCAGGCTTAAGTCTTAAGATGGTGTTCACTGGTTGATCTCACTTTTCAATGGTCAAAACTGCTGTCAATTCTTAGAAATGGCCAATTGTTGGCCAGGAGTGTAAACCCATCAGCCTCCAGCAGTTTTAACTTCTTTAAGTGTTTCTCTTTGTTTTCTTAAATGCCAGTCTATCACATCTGGGCCTCAGCTGCCAGCCCCACACACTGAGCACTGGGGGCAGGGAGCTTCTCCAGGCTGAGGCTGGGGTTTCCAGGCTGTCCTTTACAAGGCATTCGGTGATCTTCGACAGATTCTTTGTTGTCAGCACCCACTGGAGGTCTGTCTTCTCCAAGAATCTGGCTGCACAGTGCAGCGTTTCCCAAGAGACCTGGAGAGCAGCAGAGATGGCATTGCAGCCCAGGGCACAGGAGTTGCATCCCTCTGCCAAGGCCAGCAGGAGGCCACAGCCTGGGAAGCAGCAGGGCAGGAGGCAGCAGAGCCCCCTCCCAGAGATCCACAAGCATCACACAAAACCTCACATTTGTCACATGCTGGTTCTCCTCATGGCAGCTCAAGAAGAGCAGGAGCAGTCTCTGGCTCACAATTCTCTCCAGGGCCTTTTTTCCTTTGTCTTCTTCCAAGTCCATTACCTTTTGAAAATGTTGAATGGAGAGCAACTGCACACAGCTGTTGTCCTGGAGAAAAGGAACTGGAATGTATCTCTAAGCACCAAGTTCTCCAGTCCCGCCTGGGCAAAGGCCTGAAAATCCACCTTCTGGAAAACTCCTTCCCCAACACGCCCACCAACACCAACCTCCCTCATCTCGCCAGGACCCCCAGCTGTTCCCATCCCTCCACAGAGCTTTCCCACCCTCCAGCAGACCCCCTGGCTCCCTGCACATGCCATGGGTTAACCAGGATTGCTGGGAAAGGATCGAGAGCAGCCTGGCAAGCTCTTTCTCCAGCTCCCTCTTTACTCTTGGGGCAGGTAGAACATTCCACAGGAAAGCAACTGGTGCCACAAGGAGTGGGCGGCATCAGGCAGCTCTGGGGAGACCCCTCAGGACTGCTGCATCCTGAGGGAACATTGTCAGCCTTGACCTGTAGGTGTCGAGGTGACACTGGTGGTTGAGTTCTTTTCCCCAGGACTGAGATTAACCAGAGAGAGGCTGTTTTCTCATGTTCACACTTGGTTGTTTATTCTTTCCTTATCTATATTACATATATACAGAGTACAAGAAGCTACATACACTAAGATAGAGACGTGCAAAATGGAGAACAAAGAATCTCATCATGGTCTTTTCTATGTCTATTTGTCCAATAATCAAATGCCAAGTAAGTTATTTTTCTTAGTGACCCTATGACCTGACACCTGTGCGCTGCACTGCGGCTTTTTCTATCCAATCACTCACTCCAAAAACCCTTAAAAGAAGAAGATGAAGGAAGAAGGAGAAAGGGACAATGCCCTAAGTCCTTCATCTTGTCTCTTATTTTCTAAAATAGCTTAAACCTTAAACTCTAACTTTCTCACCCAGTGACTTAAGAAAACTCTTAACTTACACACTCATATTCCCAGTTTCTCAACTGAACTTTAAAAGTTATCTCCATGGTGTTGCTTTAAATTCAGTGCTCTTTTGGGTGTCAGAGCCAGGCACTACAGAAAAGGGCACATTTTCTGTACCTCTGACCCCAAGAGGGCAGAGAGTGCCAAAACCTACCTTTCTTTAGAGGAGATGTCCCTGTCAGGACATTTCCTCCTAACTTATCTCAAAGCGAGACAGGGGTGCAGTCCTGCACACACCCACGGCACTGCTTCCTTGGTGCAGCTACACACCTGCGCTCAGGGTGCAACCACAGGTTCCACTGCCCAAACCCTGTCCCTGTCCTCTTACCCACACTCAAACATGAGTCTATTTTTCACTCACACATGCTCAAAACACCATCGGTTTTTGTGCTCTGCGCATCCCATCCTCATTGCCAATAACATCATGGGTTCTGGAAAATGCCCATGCACAAAATTGCAAAGCAAGTCTTATTTTATTAGTTGCTGTTGCAAATAATACATACCAACCCCTGGACTGGTGAAAAGCCACTGAGCAGGAGATGGACCATGGTGCTCCAGTGGGAGGAGCCTACAGGGCATCCCCTGCATCAAAAAGGCGTGCATTTTGTCCTTCTTGCCTCTCCACTGCAGAACCAAGCCTCCTATCTTCTCCGCTGGAGTGGAATTCTCCCAGTTACCATGTCATCTCACCTTTGGCCAGTACATGAGGTAAGGTCATGTCTTGGTTTTGGAAGACAGGTGTCTGCTAGGGAGGGCAGGAGCCTCCCTTGGAATGAAAGAATGTAGATCCCCTCCCTCCGAATTATTATAATTTTGAAAACAAGGGGCTTTCAGGCAGAGATCTGTTATCAGGAATAACAGTTCTTTACTAGTATTTATAACAAGGCAAACAAACAACAATAACTACAGCATTAGCAAGAAAACAGAACCAGGGGCCCTGTGACAGCTTTCTCGGCTGAGATGGGATGGAAAAGAGGCTTTGTTTCACAAACCCCCTCGGGTGGGCAGTCTTGGTGCTCCTGCAGGGCTCTGAGGAACACTCAGCTGGAACAGCAGGGATGAGCTGAGATCTTGGGCTGGTGGCTGAGGTGGATCAGCAGCTCCGCAGTGGTGGCTGGCACTGTCACATGTCCCAGCAGAACAGCGGGTGCGAGGCCACCAAAAAACAGGGAAGAAGGAGAAGAAGCAGCAGCTCCGTCTGGGTGATGGCGAAATTCCCTTCTCCCCACTGCAACAGCTCCGCGCCCACTGTGTCCTTCTCTGAAGCTGAAGAAAGCCCGCCAAACTGTCCCCACCCTCCTTTTTCCTGCCACCCCTCCCCCTCTGGGCCCGCCACACTCTTTTTCTTTTGTCAAGCACCCTCCAAGTACCCACAGTTAGGTTGTCCCCACAACTAATGGGTAAAAATTCCACGGGCAAGCCAGAATTAAAAAAGGACACCTAACCCCCAACATCTGTGCCTCTACACAAGACATGGCGCAGAAGAGAACGGCAGGAGGGGCCTGTGTGTTACAGCGCTCTGGATTTGTGACACTTCAGATCCACAGAGATGCAGTTTAAGTGAAAAAGTCAAACTGTTTATTGATGGAAAGCGAAGCAAACGGATGAGCTGAGAGGCAAAAATGGGGATGGGCATGGTCTGAGGGCTGGAGGGAGGGAGCTGTCAAAAGGGAGGGAGAGTGGAGGGAAAAAGAAGGCATGGGCAGTGTCTGAGGGCTGCAGGGAGGGAGCTATCTAGAGGCAGGGAGAGGGCTGAAGCCACAAGAGCTTCCCACAGGCTCAGCTGTGACAGTCATCAGCAGTGCTTGAGCTCCAGCTGGTCCCTTCTGGTCTCAGTGTAATCTCATCTTCCAAGGCATCTGAAGGTCTTAAATGAACACTGGTTATTCTGAGCCAGCAGATGAGTATAGTTCTGCAGCTCTTTCACTGAATATCTCCTGAAGTGCTGTGTTTGAATGGGAAGGGTTGCCATCTCTCCTCAGGGCTTGAAGTGCTGGAACAGAGGGAAAGAGAGCCACAATCAGAGTCTGTATCTGTGGGAATCCTAGGAGAAAGTCCTGCCAGGGCCATCCCAGCCTGCTCTTGCCATGGCAACGAGAGGGGGCCAAGGGGATCAACCGCAAGGTCCTGGTCACAAATCCACTTCCCCCCAAAACCCTGCCCCACATCCCTGAAATCTCTTTGTGCTCTGCCCACACCACCCCTTGTCCACACAAGGAGAAAAATCCTCCGTAGCCCCGGCAGGGATCACAGCTCCCTGCCCGTGCATTGCAGCTTCCCCAGTGCCAGCCACCCAGTGCAAGCCCTCACTCACCCTCAGTGAGGGCCTGTAGCTCTTCCTGCTGCCCCCTCAGGAGCCGCCCGGCCATCCCTGGGAACACAGAGCCTGTCAGGGCCCCAGCAGCACAGCTCCCTGCCAGCGGCGCTGCCAGCCCTGTGGCCACACGGCCTCCCGCCCCAGCAGGGCTCAGCCCGGGCCCTTGCCGCATCCTGACTCAGCCCAAGGGCACGGCTGCCAGAGGCCGGCAGCAGCAGCTCCGAGGGCAGCCGGGGCTCCAGGGC